CCTATTTATATGTTTTAATACATAATGCTTATACATACACCTGTAGTCTATGGATACCTGTTTACAATCATCCTGCTAAATGCGCCCCCTTCCTACAACCACTGGTGTTAGAAGGACGTATTCCACACAATGCCACCAGATAAACTTACATGTTTACTGTATCCACTCGTTCTGGGGTCATGTTGTTTGCTTCTGTGGCTCTTGTAACTCTCTCTCTATCTCTCTCCATATCTCTCTCCCTTTCTCTCTCCCCTTCTCTCTCCCTCTCTCTCCCTATCTCCTCCCTCCCTCTCTATCTCCCCCCCCCTCTCTCCTATCTCCCTCTCTCTCCCTATCTCTCTCCCTCTCTCTCCCTATCTCCTCCCTCCCTCTCTATCTCCCCCCCTCTCTCTCTCTATCTCTCTCTCTCTCCCTATCTCCTCCCTTTCTCTCTCTCCCTATCTCTCTCTGCTATCTCCCTCTCTCTCCCTCTCTCTCCCTCTCTCTCCCTCTTTTCTTCCCCTCCTCTCTCTCCTCCCTTTCTCTCTCCTCCCTCTCTCTCTCTATCTCTTCTTCCCCTCCCCTCTCTCTCCCTCACTCCAAAGGTCATCAGTGAATGCAGCGACACAGGTGCCATTTCCCCACTTACTTGTCTCTACATGAAACAATGGCTTCAGTTTTAAACTTATGTCATTTCGTCAGTCTGTCTGTCTCTCTTCTTCCCCCTTGCTATCAATCATCTATTTCCTATCACCTTTGAGGGATTGACAGGAATTTTATCAGTCCATCTTATATAACATCCTTCTTCCTGTCTGTTTCTCTGGTAACCTTGGAAAATTCATTGAACTGTGACAGTGTGTGGGTCAAATCAACTGCAACAATTTCGCTGAAATTAGGAAGGTGAGTTGAAATGATCTTTAGTTTTGTACTTTGTCAAATTAATGCTTGGGTAATTTCGTAGGTCAATAATAGCTATATACAGTGTAACCTTTCTAATCCAGGCACCAGTGCAGAAGAAGGGTAGGAGATAGTGTCCCTTATTAGAGAGGTGTCCTCATTTCAGGGGTTGATAAGAACTGTTCTTGTGGAAATAAAAGGTGTCCTTAGAGAGGTGTCCTCATTTCAGGGGTTGAATTCCATGCAAAAACTGTTCTTGGGGAAATAAAAGGTGTCCTTAGAGAGGTGTCCTCATTTCAGGGGTTGAATTCCATGCAAGAACTGTTCTTGTGGAAATAAAAGGTGTCCTTAGAGAGGTGTCCTCATTTCAGGGGTTGAATTCCATGCAAGAACTGTTCTTGTGGAAATAAAAGGTGTCCTTAGAGAGGTGTCCTCATTTCAGGGGTTGAATTGCATGCAAGAACTGTTCTTGGGGAAATAAAAGGTGTCCTTAGAGAGGTGTCCTCATTCCTTAGAGAGAGGTTCAACTGTATTGGCAAGCAAAAAAGAACGAATCAAGAATGCGTAATTTCAGCCAAATTTGCGTGTATTAATACATACATAGAGCTAGACCGAGGACACTGCTGCCAATTAATCCCATACCACACCAAAACGGTAATATTACTTGCGCAAACCATAACCTATTTATTGCCGTAATGGTGACGATATTAATGCCATTGTGTCGGTGGGTGAAAGATCAATGGGTATTTTAAAACCTTTTTTGGTAATGAACTGCAAGTGTGTAGAGTAATGTATAGTGAGGTGTCCTGACGTGTCCTGATCAGTGAGGTGTCCTGATCAGTGAGGTGTCCTGATTAGTAAGGTGTCCTGACTAGCAAGGTGTCCTGATCGCGAGGTGTCCTGATATCCATATGTGTAGTTCGATCTTTGATTCAGCTGTGCTTTAGTTATCCCCCATACACTCTCTATGGAGGGAAAGATTAATGTAGCTCTCCAAATTGACACTGCCAATCTTTAGGCAATCATTTTGCCAATTTTTTTGGCTGCTAGTAAAGAGACGATCTATTACCTACAGTTTACTCCAAATATGTGTGTTGTGTCTTTCCCGGAATAAGTGATTTATTTTGGCAACAATATCGTGAAAAACATCTCCACACACTCGAAATGACACTTTCTCGGAGTTGCGATGCTACCGTACAGCCGTTGCCACGACGATTGTTTTCGAGGTCTATTTGTACATCGCCGTGGAGCCAAAAGCCGTCGTCTCTTTCAGTGACAATGGGCCGGTAGCTAGTGTAACCCCTTCCCATTCAGTCGCATACACCGGAATTTCTTTTCTTCCACTTGTACTGTTTGGGGGGGTATTGTGCAATTATTGTTCCGCTGGACATGTTGCGCAATAATAATAATACCATGTTGTCACGGTAGGGGGTAGCAATGCATGACATGCCCTGAAGTGATGTCATATCCACAAAAGTCTCGATGATTGCTACGTAAAATGTAACCATTGCCTTTAGTGTATTATGTTTGCCCGAGAAGTGATCGTTGATTGATTAAAGCAGCTTAGTTCACACGCAAATTTTGACATCGCTTTGTATTTTTTAGTAACCATGATTACTAAGCACAAGAATAATATGGATACATGGAAATGAATTAGCTACTTAAAGAAGAAGTGTATTATTATACATGGCCCAAGATACTGTTTTCCTTCCATCCCTGCAGACGACTTGGAAGAGTGTCATTTTAGAGCGTCTTTGCCTTCATTACAAACTGAAACCGTCATTTTGTAGCCACACATTATTAGAACATTCTCCGCATTCTTTCATCAGAGTTAATTAACTGTTCAACTTATCATTGTTATCAGCGAAAGAACGTTTTGCTACCTCGTGGTTCGCAGCGTTTGCTCTGATTGTCTATTTAGTAAACTTAAAAAAAACTTTTTTTACAAGAAACGAGAAAAGCCAGGCCAAACATTTTGAAAGTGATAAATAGCAATTGATTGGAATAATAATAATATTGATTGGAGGATTGGAAAGGGTTATTATTGTTAACAACAAAAGGTTTGAAAGTTCAGCGAGATTTAACTGACATGTACAATTGACACAAGAAAATCGAGTGATTTGTTTTTTGATAAGTGGGAATGATCGAGGTTGATGCGTATAATAACCAGAAAAAAAGGGGAAAAGATCACAAAAAAGTGAAATTACACTGTCAGTGTTGTCATCATTGTCATTTCCCCGGTTTTTTTGTAGAATAGAAAGTCGACGGGCGTAGAAATGTCAGCGTTGGAGTTGACAGTGCGGTGTCGTAGAAAATGTTCACAAAAAACAAGTTTGAAACAAGTTTGACCTGAAAGTTTACTCCTAGAAACGGTACGTTGAGTTTTTTGTGGTGTGTAGATTCGTTAACCGTTCGTGTTTTGCCAGTTTGTTGTCGTCCTGCAAAAGATTGTACTTTGGGAGAAATTGTCCCGACAGATGAACGCAAGAGAAGTGTGGGGGGAAATTGACTTCTATAGGGGGGCTGGGGGGTCGGAAATTCAGCATGGGGGAACGAATGTTGTACGGTGAAGTGGAAATGTGCAGAGCAATTGGTTCCTAGCGACGGACAGCAGAACACTCAGTAAAATGAGTCGGGGGGGATAACTTCTAGAGAGCGGGGTGGGGGAGGGAAAGGGTTAAACGGAACCCGCTCGGAGCTGGTTTAGTCGCTCGACGAGGCGGAGCTTCCGTCGTTTCTCGGCAACCAGTTCGGCCTCGGCGACCTGCTCCAGTTCCTGCATGTGCCGGATGAACTCCATGGCCTTCCGGAGGATGGTGACTTTCGGTGCTCTCTGGTTGTCTTCGAGTTCCGGTATCTCCTCACGAAGACGCTAGAGGAGAGAGAGGGACATTGTTACAACAACCTAATTAAAATTCTTGTAAAATTCTAGAATTCTAGGGAGGAGAATACATTGTTTTTACAACAACCAGACATGAAAATTGTAGACTAGGGGCATAATCAAAGAGAGGGCCTGAAAGTACACCACCCAGAATCAAGACTTCTCGAAATGAGGCTTAGGCTAATACAGCGTCTGCTGGGAGAGGAGAGGCCACCATGGCAGACTTCCTTGACGGAGAGGTAACGGAGGGAGAAAGGAAAGAGGGAGAAGAAAAATGGGGTAACTTACTTGAAAGCTAGACTTGAGATCGTTCCTTCTCTTTCTCTCCAGAACGTTGTGACTGGCTCTTCTGGCTTCATCTTCACTTTCAACAGTCTCTCCCACCGTCGACCCCGCTGAACTCAGTCGCTGCAGTCTGGGGGGGAGGGGGTTAATTTTACAGTTATTTCATCGTCAAATGAAACAATTAAGTGGCTGATATTTCGAGGACGACATCATCAATAAAACAGCATATTCGTGCAAAATCCTCAGTGCGAAACGTTGATTGTAAATTTCAGGGATTTGATACTTAATGTGATAATATGTATGAACAGATGTATTAAATGTGGGTCAATGTATTTGTGGAGTTGCGATTCAATCACCTCTTGGTGTGGTATTTCCTTCTCTTCTGAGGAGGATGAGGAGATGTCTGCCTCGAGCAGGGAGCCGATAGAGACGAGGGGTGACTGCGTTTCCGTGACGCTTTACTACGGTCCGCCGACGTCACCGTGACGACATCTATCTCTTCATCTGCGAGGGAAAAGAGAGAGAGAGTGATGAAATGTTAGAGGTGTTGAATTTTCATCTAACGAAAGAAAACTGATTCTTAAGTGTACTTGGACGTAGTTGTCAAGCGAAGCAAGCCATCCAAGTCGTCTGAATGTGGGATTTCTGGCACTGCCACATACCACCGTGGTATTCGTGATTCTAAATCCGCATGAAATTGCGCCAAATATCGGAACATTGTTGCACATCTCTCTTCTACTCATTACTATTCTCTAGTATGCACCTCTAGTATGTATCACTATATGTACACATCACTAAAAGTACAGTAGAGTGGGCTAGCGTCACCGTATGGGGCAATTATAGATACACACACACACAGCGTACTACACAAATAAGGTCTCCAATTAAGAAGTGAAGGAAATGCTGAATTAAAGAGCTTGGAACTGGTCCAACCACTTTACACATCCCGTCTTCGAAACTGGGGGTTCGAAATTTGGCCAGCGCCCCCACCCCCGGAAGTCGCTATGGACACCCTGGTGTGAGGTAACTTGGCAGCAGTAACGCGCCAGGTAAAACCGGTTTTTCCGACTGGTCTCACAACCTCGTTAAACCAGTCACAGAACTAGTACACAAAAGCTACGGAACCTACAGCACCAGCACACCAGCACACACACAAGCAATACAACAGACTACACACACTTAGCAAGAACAAAGCTCTCTTTATTTCGAATTTCAAAAGTTACAAGTTCAAAATTCAAGCCCCCCCTCACCTTGACACTGGAAAGTGCCATGTCACACTGGCACCAAGGTGTAGAAAGGTGTAGTTACTGATAAGTAGGTGCTAAAGTGACAGGTTTTGATCAACATGGGAAGGGTAACCCACAGCAGCCAATAAAGCTACCCTAGTCATCATAGGGACAGGGTTACTTTAGCCAAGCTTCTCCCAAAGCTAAAGAGAGGGTTACAGCCCAAATTAAGAAGAGAAGGAGTTAAATCTAGCCAACCCACATGGTCTCCCAGAGGGCTAAGAAAAGGTTTAATCATAAATTAAGGGGGCCTCCAAGTGTACCAATTAGACGGCTCACTAAGGAAACCCAGCTAATATGGGGGAGTTAGGGTGTGTCTATCCCATAGAGGGTGCAGCAGTATACACACACCACAGTATACAGCGGCAGTATATACACATACACCACAGTATACAGCGGCAGTATATATACATACACCACAGTATACAGGCAATATACCCAATACAAGGCCAACACGCATACACACATGCTGCTGTGACAGACATAATACAGCCATAGCAGCGGGACAACAGACAATAGCACAGCACCTGCACAGCCACAGAACTGCACACAGGTGGTGGGTGGTGTTGTACTAGTTCAGACGCTGAAAAACTTGGAAAGCAGAATTCTTACTCCAAAAAAGCTAAAAAAATAGAGCACCACATCACTTTCATGCTTTAATATAACAAATGTTTATAATTTTTTGGTGAAAATCTTGTAAGTCTCACCAGAAGTAGAGGACTCGGTGGACTGAGGTTGGATACGACTGTTGGCTCCCATGGCAACCGTTGCCGCCGACGACAGCTTCCTCTTACGACGCTGCTGACTCCTCTCGTAGCCGTGACGACCTCCGATCTCGTCGCCAGACTCCTCCCAATCAGGATCGTCCCTCTCGGCCTTGTTGCTATTGCGCAATACCAACATGTTCTTCTTCACCGGAGACGACGCAGTAGTAGTGGCTTCAGTGGTTTCCGTGGCAGCAGTGGTGTTATTGTGGGTGGAGTCGACCTTTGAACCCACTCTGGGGAGGATCTTGGTGGGGGAGGTGAGGATGGAGGGGAAGACGACAGACGGACTTACGCAACAATCGCTCTCAACACCCTCGTCGTCGTGACTACTGTCGCCCCCGACAGCCACCGAGGCAGGTGGAGGTGGCGAGGGTGACGGGGTATATACCCCACCTCCGGTCCCCGAATCCCCCGGGGTGTTTTGGAGTGAGGAATTTGCGGACCCCACGGAAGCGAGGGGGGCAGGGGGTTTCTTAGCGAGGGACCGGCGTTCGCAGAGATGTCCGCTCCACATGCAGTCCTGAATGAGATTTTCCTCCAAGTTGGTGGAGGTTGCGGTGGCGATGTTGGTTGCCACGGTTAAAGGCGGGAATGCGACGGGGTTGCTGGTGAGGACCTCCTCTCCGTAAGCCAGGAGAATCAGCTCGTTCAGTAGAGGAAGATCTTGGTTTGTATCGCTCTGAGAGAGAGGGAAGGAGAGAGGGAAGGAGAGAGGGAAGGAGAGAGGGAAGGAGAGAGGGAAGGAGAGAGGGAAGGAGAGAGGGAGGGAGGGAGAAGATTGAAAATGAAAGAGAGGAAGAGAGGGAGGAAATTATTATAATCATGGAAACGATGTAATACACATGCAAAGTGCCTGAGGCTATTTGTTGTTGTGGTCGTCATGGAAACGATGTAAACTCGTGCGCACCACCAAGTTTCACCTCCATGCGTGCTACAGTCAGCAAGTTTGAGGAGTGAAGAAAAAAAAAAAATTGGAAGACAACTAAAAACGCTAGCACATATATACCTACCCTACAAAGTCCCTACTAATTCTTTACAAGACCAATACATCACTTCAAAGAAAAGGTGGAGACTAAACCAAGCTATTGGCCGGCCATCTCCGTACAATGGTTAACACTCCTTTGGGGAAAGGGGGTATGTTTACCTCGGGAAAATGGACGTGTTTTAGCACCAGAGGTCCACCTTACAATGGGCCTGTTTTACCACAGGCTGGTGTTGCCACGGAAACACAAGGAAATGGCTACGCTAGAAGCTTTTGTTAGCTATCGCAAAAGACAACTTGTAAAGTTGCATAATTTCTTCAGTCAGTTGAAAGCGTGGTGCGTCACCCAAAAAAAAACAACTAATAAGTTATGCCACACTGTTGTACTCTATTGCCATGGAAATACGCATCCCTAGCAACCTAGTAACCAGTGCTAACAAATGAAAGAGAACAGGTTTGACTGAAGAACACAACGCATCTTTTGTGACACAAAGGAGCATGATAATTGACAATATTGAGAAAGGGCCATTCCTGGAACTTTTTCCCTTTCAGACTACCAACAAAAGGCATTTCCTGGCACATGTAAATGAGATCAAGGGGATTTTTAATTGGGACTTTGCAGCAAAACGCAACATTAAAGCGTGCAAAGGTTGGTACAGCATAAGGTGTATAATTATTAACAAGGAATGGTACAAAAGACTATCCTTCCTCTTCTCTCTCTCTCTCTTGTCTCTCTCTCTCTCTCTCCCTCCTCTACCTCTCTCTCTCTGTCTCTCCCTCCCTCCCTCTCTCTCTCTCTCTCTCTCTCTCTCTCCTTTCTCTTCTTCATCTCTTACCTCGCTGTCTTCATCCAGTTCGTTGTTCGGAGTGTAAACTCTCTCAGGAGTGGTGGGCGGAGTTGGGAACCCTGGGGGAGGGGGAGGGGGGGATTTAGAGCAAGGGGGGCAGAAGTAAGGGGCCAAAATTTCACAATATTGCCAAGATCGGTAATCCTTAACACGGTTCCGGTTCTCTCATGCACATACATAGTAACTATAAACAGGTATTTGGATAATTAGCGGGAAACTACTGGAGATGCTCGAAGCAAATTTTTCCTCGAGATTACCAGCTATACTCCCAACTTTATCCTCTTCACCTCCCCCCCACTAAAAAGTTTTAAAGACAACTGCAGTTTCAAAGACTCAGTTTTGTCAAAGGAATCCAGGCGCAGGTGGTGGAAAATGGCGTCCTTTTCTCACAACACGTGACCAGAGATTGTACAAAACTGTCCACCACACCAGAAATGGAGCAGATGGAGTGCAGCTGCAGTAGAAACAAGATGCTGCGGTGTGCAGCTGGGGTTGGGGGCCAGCAAATGGGCAAACAGAAAACAGCAAGCGAGACTGAAGAGGCCGAGAAGGCGAAAGACACTACTCTAGCAGAAATTCCATAAGCTGTTGGGTCAAGTTACAATTCAACTACTTTTCGTCCACTGAAAAATCTCGATCTTAAACAAAACCTTGCAAAAGTTACCTGAAAGTTTGGATCTCAGAGAATGCCAAAGCCACTTCCAAACTAAAGCTTACGTTCGTACCACAGGACTTGGTGATTTGCCAAAGAGCAATGGAAACATTTTAAGTAGCTATATGCACACACAACAGTGCTGCAGGGATAAACAACAGCCAGTAGTATATTTCTGTGCCCAGACTCCACCAAAAACAAAGCGAAGTCCCAAAAAAAACGTTGCTGAACAATTTTTAACAATGAAGTAGAGCTACTGCTATTTTGTTTACCTTGAGCCCGCCAAAGTTCGTCCAGCGCAGATTCGTTCACCAGTAGCTCGGCTAGCTGGTCGCAGTAGGTGTCGCTGCAGAGCAGACCTGGCGGGACGAACTCCGGTTGAATGCCTTCAATTGAGCAGGCCATCCCTGCCGCCACGCAAGGAGAGAGAGAGAGAGGGGAGGAGAGAGAGAGAGGAAAGTTAGACAAAGGAAAGAGAGGGTGCAGCTAAGCAAGCGATACACGCAAAGACAAGAACAAACAAAACGTATACGATGCTTCGCGAAGTGCAACATAACGTTTGATGGCGGCGCGCTACACGGACACTTATAAGCCGTTTTACAAACCCGCGACTTGTCCGCGGCCCGAGGCCGTCTTTGCAAGCCAAGTTCCTTTGTTTAGTTCGCGAAAAGGCCCAGCTAGTAAGTAAAGCATGCCGCGCACGGCTCCATAAGCTGTAGACACAACCCACACACACACGCGCACACGTGTACAATTGTAGCGACGTCTTGGCCGTCTTTCCGCGGCACTTTAGACAAAGCTTCTGGCACGGGCATCACCTTCGACAGAAGGCTACAAAAAGTTTACTGCGGCCAGCCAAGCCTCCAGACGAGGTGCGTAGCCAAGTGAACAGGTGGGGGATGCGCTACCGCGAACTAAGCTTGCGAACTAAGCTTGCAGCCTTTCCTAAGCTCATGCAAAAATCTTGGCAGCGAGCACCCGGGTTTACATATCGAGTTACCGAGAAGCTACTCAAGCTTTCTACGACGACATAAACCCATAGGGAGGGCTCTCCGGTCGAACTCGTAGTAAAATCGTAACCTCATACGCTGTCCACAACTTCCCGTACTAATGTGTCTCGCACGAAAACTGGCTCGGCATCTCTAAAAGCTGGAGGCAGAGACATACGCACCCGGGGCGCGGGTGTGTTGGTTGACGATAAGCCATGTTTGTCTTGGCACGGGCTCGGGCGCTCAAGCGTCCGTTGGAGATTCAGACTAGCTAGATCGCTTGTTCTAGCGTCGCTCGAGCGGAACGCTAAGACAAAAGCCTTACGCGATGAGCTATCGCAAACAGGCACTGCGAGCAACGACGGCTGCACTGAAAAGCCTTCGAACTTTCGCAGGCATTCAACCTGAGTTTTATTCCAACAAAACGCTTTCTTTTTTCTAGCCGCAAGTGATCGCTGCAGTCGCGTAGACGCAACATGGACATTGAAATTCACCTTTTTCTCCAAAAAAAGTCGTCTCTCTCCAGACAAACGATATCCGAGGGATTTAGCAGATGCTCTTCTGCAGAGTTTCAACACTGAATAATTCTCTCGATGCGGGGATCGTGTCGCGCCACACAGCATACAAGAAAAGGCGACCGGTGGGGCCGGTTCGCTCGCTTCTTTTCGGCAGCGATAAAAAAGGAAGGACTGATCAGCTACGGACCTTTTATAGACCCCGCGCCTCTCCCCTCAAGCGAAGGGGTCGCGGAGGGGTCAAAATTCTTCACCCACGGGGGTCCATACGGGTGCAAAAACCAACCTATATGCGCATGCGCAGTAGGGGGGGCAAGAACGATACTGATCGCGTGATCTACTGCGCGCGATGACCACGCCCAATCCCATGAAATTAATTAGCTTCTCTGAAAAAGGGGTGTAGTTCGCCCGCCCAGCTATCTCGTTGCATTCCTTAGCTGACTCATCTGGTATCGACGAGTGGGAGACGCCTCACATATAGCTGGAATCCAGGGCGTGTCGCCTCAGTCGTCCCCTCGGCAGCAGACAGCAACCGCGTTCGAGACCTGTCTTCGGTATTGGTAAGTGAAGTATTGTTCTTTGCGCGCGGGCGTATAATATACAGTTTACGCGCTAGAGCTCGTGTGTATGCAAACGGAGCAGGCTAGCACCGCGTATGCCCGTAACGCCCGGCATCTTGCTTTCATAAATCTCGCTGGAAAAAAGTTCGCGAAAAGAAATATAAAGTTCGCGCAGCTAGAAGTCAGTAAATCATCAGCGGAGTATGAGTATTATACACGTGAGATAGCTATTGTAGCGACCACCATTCACTTCTGTTTTCAGTTACCAAACAAACAAAGAGCTAGCGACCGTCATAGTAACTGACTATTGAATACTCGAGCAAGATGGCCGATGATGCTGCAATGGATGTGGAATCTCGGATGCCACCTGAACCGACTGCAACTGAGGGTCCCTCAGCCAACGAGGGACCATCCGAACCCCCAGTTTCGCCGGACCCCCCTCAGGAGAGGGGGACCTCGCCGCAGGAACCCCCGAAACCAAAAGATATCGAGAGGGCGGAGTCGGTTGAGGGTGAAGTGGGGAAGAACAGAGTTTTGGTGAAGGTCATGTTGTTGGATGGACTGCACTGCCTGCTCAACTGCACGGTGAGAAGAGAGAGGGTGAGAGGGGAGAAAGAAGAGAGGAAGGGAGAAAGAAGAGAGGAAGGGAGAAAGAAGGGAGGGAGGGAGAGGGAGAGAGGGAAGAGTGAAGGATGCAGGTGCACATTACGTTGTGCTGAGTTGCACGATGAAGGGAGAGAGAGGGAAGGGGACAGGTGCAGAGAGAGAGAAAACTCCTATGACAGTAGTCAGGCTGCGTTTCCGACTTTGCTGAAACTGAAGTGGGGTGAGAAAAAGTAAAGAGAGAGATATTGAGAAGGAGAAGAAGATGGAAGAGAGAGAAGGAGGGAGAGAGGGTGCGTGTATTGAAAGAGTGCTGCAGCAGTAACTGCCAGAAAATGCAGCGATAACGTGTTTGAAATGGCCTCACATCAAGCAAGAGCCAAACCGCACCTGTGCGACTTACACTATAATGTATCCTCACCCTCTCCCTCCCCTCCCTTCTTTAGCAAACACATACACACACCCTATATACACACAGTATATATGTACATGGAATGCCTAGCGATTGGCGAAGCATTAAGATATTTCTTACAACTTCTAAGACAGCACTTAGTATACCATTATATAGAGTCGGTTTCCACGGAGTGGGGCGCCATATGCACCAACACATACCCAATATAACCGGAGTCTCTACGGTAACTGCAGTATAATAATAATAATAGCAGGGCTACAGTTAATAATTGTTGTATAATGATGATTTCACAAGAGCATGTTATAATAATATAAGCTCAAACTGCGATGGTACATTCTGCACTTATTGCACTCAGTCATAACACTCTTATTAGACCCATTATAAGTCGATTATTAAGTCCACCCCTATATACCCTTGCCAACGTAATTTGATTCATACGATGTAAGTATGCAAAAGGTTGCAACATTCCTGTTTGCACGTTGCTATATTCACGACCTGTGTCCACGTAAGAAGGTGAGAAGAGGCAGAGAGGGGAAGAGATACGGGGATATTCGTGGGAAATGAATCCCTCTTATGCGGCGGTGTACTTTTGTGAGAAATTTGAAAGAATTTGTGTCGATGGGAGTATTGGTACAAGGAGATACAGATTGTCTTACTTGCCACTCGGGTATAATATTTCAGTAGTATCTATAGTTTCCCATCCTCCCACTCTCAAATATATCCCTCCTCTCTCCTTCCCGCCCTCCCCTCTCCCTCCCTCCCTCTACCCTCCTCTCTCCCTCCTCCCTCCTCTCTTCCTTCCTCCCTCCCTCTCTCCTCTCCTCCCTTCCTCTAGCCTCCCTCTACTCCCCTCCTCCCTCACTGCACAGAGAAAAGTAAAGGCTGAATCTCTAATAGAGTACATCCACAGCCACATCGACACCGAAGAAAAAGACTTCTTCTCACTTTACTTCTTCGTCAACAACCAAAAGGTATATAAATATTTCCTCTGAACACACTTGTCTCTATCCCAATGCTATTACTCTTAGTCCACTAACGTTAATATATTGTAGCCACCTGGGTTGGACTTTGAACCTTCCACGTGGACCCAGGGTCATTCTAATGCACGTGATAGCACGATAATGTGTATGTGTATGATCAGTCTGTTTTCTGAGCCCTAAACCCTCTCTCCTAATGGAGAGAACAGCTCAACTGCATGGTTGTCTTGGAACCAATCAATAGCTGCAGATTTTGCTAACTTAAAAATGTAACCTATGAATAGCACTTGTCTCTATCCCAATGCTATATAGTCCACTAATGTTAATCTAAATTTGCCCTAAACACCCCCTCCTAATGGAGAGAACAGCTCAACTGCATGGCGTGGTTTGGTCCCCAGAACCTATCAACAGCTACAGATTTTGTACATTCACAGCAGCAAATTGGATTGTCAGTGTTGTTTTTCTAATAAGGTGTATACGCTGTTTTCCTTTCTCTCTCCTCCTCCTCCTCCTCCTCCTCCTCCTCCTCCTCCTCCTCCTCCTCCTCACTACATTTAAGCGAAACCCCTATGGAACTGTTGATCTGAGTAAAATAGCCCTAATGAGGTCCATACTGTGTTTTTCTTTCCCTTTCTCTCCCCCTATCATAGCCCCATACATCTATGATGCTAGGTGCCATGCCCATCCCTATATACTAAGTACTACTGTACTTAGTGATATTAGTGAAACCACTCTCTGATGAGTTGTTGAAATTGTGCCAAATACGTTGTCATTATAGTAGCCTTGTCACCTAAAGCAGAACCCTCTCTTAGGACACTCCTGGAAATGGGGACACCTCTCTAATAAGGACACCTTTTCTTTCCCCAAGAACAGTTCTTGCAGCATGCAATTCAACCACTGAATAAGGACACCTCTCTAATAAGGACACTCCATTTGGTGGAAACAAGGTTCAACTGTATTTCTTCTCTCATTCCCCCTCAATCCTTGTTACCGAGAATCAATACCGGAATCCTTACCATGACGATGCTTTCCCGTGTACACCAAACTGTAAACCACATTCTTCAAATTCCTCACATTCCGTCCCTCACGTAAATCGTTGTACTAATACCCAATGACCTAGTGATACGTGGCTTGTATCGTGCCCTTTCACCTCGTCTCAAACTACACTGCCTGATTAAAACTCAAAATATTGCCCAACTTTTGAAACTCGATTCAATTTGTGTTTTATTGTTTGTGTCTTTGAACGTTTTTCTTCGTATTGAAGTTCTTCTTTTTTTATCTCAACGCTTAATTTTTCAGATTTTTCTTGATCCTGAAAAGACAGTTGTTCATCAACTTCCACCAAGTAAGTACCTCTGGCTCTCTGCACTTTTTTAAATTTCTTTTTGCTTCTCTATCTCGTCTGAAGCATTGTCATTAATATCTCTCTATCGCTCTGATTTACCATTCTCCTCCTCTTGCCTCTTAGCACGTCATTTTCTTTTTGCTTCTCTCTCTCCTCTGAAACTGTCATTATTGTCTCTCTAACAATTTGCACACTCTGATTTACACCATTTCTCCACCTCTTCCTTTTGACTGGCAGTTCTTCGCCAGACCCAGCCGTGGATCATCTACTACGGGGTGAAGTTCTACCACCCAGACCCTTCAAAACTGAAAGTTGATCAGTCACGGTATATGGCCAAAGAATATCATCACGATTTGAACCCTAGTTCAGGGAGCAATGGAGGCAAAAATTAACCCCTTTACCCTAGCTTCTCATTACAAGAAACCTTAGTTTTGTTTGACCCCATAATGTTCTAATCTCTCTCTCTCTCTCTCTCTCTCTCTCTCTCATCTCTCTCTCCTCTCTCTCTCTCTCTCTCTCTCTCTCTCTCTCTCTCCAGCTATCTGTACACGCTACAACTGTGTAACGACATTCGAAACAATCGAATTCTGGTTGACTATGAGACGGCAAAGAGACTTACTGCTCTCATGATGCAAGGTAACCCACTCCTCCCTCCCTCTCTCTCTCATTCTCCCCTCTCTCCCTCTTTCTCTCCCTCTCTCCTTCTCCCCTCTCTCTCTCTTCCCCTCTCTCTCTCTTCTCCCCTCTCTCTCTCTTCTCCCCTCTCTCTCTCTCCTTCTCCCCTTCTCTCCTTCTCCCCTCTCTCTCTCTCCTTCTCCCTCTCTCCTTCTCCTCTCTCTCCCTCTCTTTCTATTATTATAGTGCTAAAGGTACATTCTGTGAGCTATAGTACATATGTATTACCTACAGCAGCAGTGTGAACTGCATAATATGCGCAAGAAGCACCGCAAATATTAATTGTTAACCCTTAGCAAGCCACGGGCATATATAATAATGCCCAGAGCCTCCATAAGTCCATAAGAATTTATATACGGCTATAATACTAGGCGTTGATATGTTATACATCAATTGCTGCTTATTTAAGGAGATACCCATGGCGTCCAAATTTAACCCCTTAACCCCTCCCCCTCCCCTCTCAGCCACTCTGGGGGACTATGAAGAAGAGGATCACAAACCAGGTTATACTGCAGACTTTGAAGACTTTCATCTCATCCCTAAAGACAGTCGAGTCAGTCCACCCACCATTTCATTTCTGGCAATCTTAAAAAGTTCCGCATTTTATTCTCGATTTTGACGTAACACTTTTCATGTTTAACCCTTTGACTTTTCATATTTAACCCTTTCCCCCCCTCCTTAATACCCAGAAAAATGACTACGAGGCTCAGATAATGCAGTACCATAAGGCCAAGGCAGGCTACACTCCCGCTCAGGCGGAGGGAGAATTCTGTGAAGTCGCCAGGGGGCTGCGTCGCTATGGCTACCACATGTTTGGCATCCAGGTAGTTCATGTGTAAAGTGGAACTTGCATACACACCGTTTCTTGCATGCAATTCAGCCCCTGAAATGAGGACACCTCTCTAATAAGGATACCCCTGAAATGAGGACACCTCTCTAATAAGGACACCTTTTCTTTCCCCAAGAACAGTTCTTGCATGCAATTCAACCCCTGAAATGAGGACACCTCTCTAATAAGGACACTTTCTTCTGTGCCATTGGTGTCTGGATTACAGTATACCATTCCGCAGTGTAATAAAATTAGCGAACAGATCGTATCCGAGTTGTTTACCCGCCTCTTCGTATATCCCAGGACGACCAGAGCGACACGTACCTGGTTGCCAATGGTTACCCGGGGATCAAGATATTTCAGGAGAGCGAGGAGATTCACCACTTCCAGTGGCCAAACATTGTCAAAATCTCGTACAAGAGGCGAAAGTTTCGGATCAAGTTTCACCCTGTCGACTCTGAGGGAGAAGTGAGTTCAGTTGCTTCTTTTTGTATATACACTTCCAAGTTTATTTCCTGTGTCGAATTTAGTATCTTGTTTATATTTTAGCCAAATTTCCTTCTTCTCTATGAGAAGTAATAGCCTCTCTCTCTCACTCTCTCTCTCTCTCTCTCTATTAGCCAAACAGAGAAGTGATAGAGCAACTGAAGTACTATTGTGGCAAGCAGCCGGCAGCCAAGAGGGTTTGGAAGAACGCTGTCGAACAGCATACATTCTTCAGGTAAAAGAAATACCGCACGAAAGATACTGGCATAACCCTCGCTCTCTTCCCCCCAGACTCCACGTCCCGGACCCACCAAACCGGATCAACCACCTGCTTCGCCGGGGGTCAAGGTTCAGATACAGTGGTCGCACTCTACGACAGACCATGGACGGCCAAGCCAGGAAGCAACAACACGATTTCCAGAGGTCAGAGTTCAAACCACACCCACTAGTACGTAATTAATCACACATTATTAGAACAACTGTCTTGGTGCATCGAAACATGTAACAGTTGCCTTATTGATGTGTTTGTTGTTGTTGTTGTTGATTGTTTGTTTGTTTGTTTGTTGTTGCTAGGTCCCACAGTGCCAGGGTACAGAAGACGTCGTACGAGAACTACGCTCCCGGCTACGTCCCCGCCCGGGAATCGTTCCGTCGTCAGGGCGGAGTCAGGGGCTCGGGTGCCGCCCGGAAACCGCAGAACCAGCCGCCGACCAGACAGATATTTGTGGAGAGAGAGGCAAGCAAGCGTCTATGTTGCTGATGTAACCATTACGTAATCTATAATTGTTCTAAAAATACCCACAGGACCCAGAGTCCCAGAGGTGGGTACAGGTGGATGCTCCGCCCACTAACCCAGAGGTCGATGTCAGCAGGATCGAACAGCAACGAGTCCAGGTGAGTTCTATTCTTAGTAACACTGATGTCATTGGAACAAGTCGATGTGTCATATTTAGTAACTCCCTATTGTTTCATTGTAGTATAGCATGCTCAGATGATGTGAGTTTTGTATTTTGGTGTGTGTCTATTTTTAGTAGCAATGATGTCATCACTATGACTGATCCCAAGTCATGGGGCTCCTATTTGCAGCGTCCAATTTGTTTACACAAAACAAGTTTTTGTCAATCAAGTGCCCTAGCTACAAGTCTTCCTGGTCATGTGAACATTCCTCCATGTCACATGACACTCACATGACACACACAGAGCTCTCCGAATCATTCGCTCGTCGTTGTCGTTTCAGGTCAACTTCAGCGTTCAGGACGGCTTGCCTCAGGACAGGTTCAAAGCCGTCCTGAGGAAGAGTGGAGGGAGTATGGAGGTGCTCACCACTGAAGATGACACCGCTGAGCCCAGCTACAAGTATGTAAGATTGTGTTGAGACTGTGTTAAGATTGCATTGAGACTGTGTTAAGTGGTATCAGTAGTAGACACTGCTGAGCCCAGCTACAAGTATGTAAGACTGCGTTGAGACTGTGTTGAGATTGCATTGAGACTGTGTTAAGTGGTATCAGTAGTAGACACTGCTGAGCCCAGCTACAAGTATGTAAGACTGCGTTGAGACTGTGTTAAGATTGCGTTGAGAGTGTGTTAAGTGGTATCAGTAGTGGACACCGCTGAGCCCAGCTACAAGTATGTAAGATTGTGTTGAGACTGTGTTAAGGCTGCATTGATACTGTGTTAAGTGGTATCAGTAGTAGACACTGCTGAACCCAGCTACAAGCAAGACTGCGTTAAGAATGTGTTAAGTAGAAAATCAGAAGTGTCTAGTGAAGGTGGACCCAGTAATACTGCATTGAGACTGTGTTGAGATTGTGTTAAGGGTATCAGTAATGATCACCAGTGAATATGACACCTCTCCCCTCTCAGACTGTCAGCCATTGACCAAGACTCCCAGGCCATCATGACCTCCGTCTCCCTGAGAGTTGACCCCGAGGAGGGGGAGGAGTCTGGTGGCCATGGCAACGTCACCGTGGTGTTCGACAGCAACACTCTTCCTTCAGTCAACCTCAAGTGAGGGAGGGAGGAGGAGGGGGAGGAGGAGTGTCTTAGTGGTTTATATTCCAATGGATGAGATGCCTCTAGAGTCCAAGTACTGTTTTAAGGTTGTGCGGGGAACTTCGAGGTTAAGCCACGACAATACAGCACTGTTATAAAGTTGCTAATAAGGAGTGTATTAAGTCTTTAAACTCCCATTGTCTCCTTCCTCTTCCTCCTCCCTCTGTCACCACGTCAGTGCGGATACCTCCACCAGTACCACGGTGATAGAGTCCTCTGGAAGGACAGTCAGCAGTGGGGGAGTCACCCACTCCTACCAGGTGAGCTCTCTCTCTCTCTCTCTCTCTCTCTCTCCCTCTCTCCTTCCTTTCTTCCACACACTCTCGCATTTCAAAAGCACATTTCTTTCTTTTCATGCGCTGGGTTTAAAAAAGATGGGCTATATAGGTTTTTTGTAAGAGCTCCTCTATAGAGGTGAATGCAAAGATACCTATCCTGGGCTAAGTAAGACAGTGACCTTCCGCTCTATCCCATCCCAGTACACATCCACCAGTGTTGAGTACACCTCTACCAGTGTTGATAAAGATGCGGCTCGAGATTATAGCCAAGAGGCCATTCAGGTATATGCAATTGTGCAGTAAAAGAGGGCAGAAATCAATTTAAAGCACTTGTAGCCAGATACACTTTATAACCGAGTTTTAATGAAAGTGCTTCCTATTATTACATGTCAGTGCAACATTTTGATAACAAATCTCAACGATCACTCTTACCTATTGCCTTCTTCCTAACCTTCCCCCCTCCCTCCCTCCCCCTCCCTCTCTCCTTTCCACCATTATCTTTTCTCTCCCTCCCTCCCTCTTGCTATATAATCAGGTGGAACTGCTCATGAAGAAAGAAGGAGAACTTCTTCAAGAAGTTCTCAATGCCAGCACTGCTGAGGGAAACACTGAGGTATGTACCATTACATCATTATGACGTCATAAAAATGACATCATCGTTAACTCATTCCCCTAGGTTGAAGACTGATGGATAAAAGCTGCAGTGATTGTAACGTGATGACCCGTTTTTAAAAAAATCTGAACATGACACAGACACATCTCACATTAAAACTCGTTATGTACATAGCTTCTTCCAGTTTCAACATTGCTATGCTGTTGATTAAGGCACAATTTTTATACCTTCATTGTTTACAAGTGCTAGATTAGATTACATCTTTGAAATTGTATAATTATACACGTTTACAAAAAATAATGTGGACTTTCTGTCATTAAAAAAACATAAATCCATCAGTGTTCCACAGATGGGGGTAATAAATTTTTTTCAATCTTTCGTGGCAATTTTCCGAGTCCGATGCTCCTCAGTGCACTAACAAGCTCTGCCCACGACGCATTCGGTTCCTCGGCAAGCCATCTTTGAAAAACAGTCTCCGCGATTTGACAGGGATTATTTCGATGCTCTAGCTCCATGCTCTTGATAACCGCACCCCAATCGTCTCTTAGTAGACGGGTGCAAAGGTCTCGACATTTTGCCCTAATCCCCTCAACGATGTTGGTAGTATGTCCTGATTGAGTTGGGAATCTTTTAAGAAGTGGTAGTGTGGGTCTATCCTGCTGCAGTATGATGTAGAGAGTTGGAGGTATGCAGCACACACACAAAATACACTATTGAGTAAAGTACACATATTTGTGACTGGTATATAGCAGCTGTATGACATGAGTTATGCAATAGGACATTCCTTCAAAGGGTTAAATGAGGGATAATTAATCACACAGTTAACACAGTACAAACAGTGTGCATATCTACTAAGTATGATGTTACAAAATGTATGTACCTGACTTCTACACAGGTTATCTTCAATCTCTGTCGCCAGAGCGCCCAGCTCTATCTCCCTCAGTGCTGTGACCAGATCAACCCAGGTATGCGGCTCCTTCTCCAGCCACCGCACCAGAACAGCCTCTGTGACTCGATTCGGATCGCATCGGTGCTTCAATTCGAGGTTATTGGCAACCATTCCCCACTTGTCGTTGAGAAGATGGATGCAGAGGCAGTGACCCTTGACGCTAATCCTCTCGATAACATTTATGAAATGTCCCGATCGAGTTGGGAACCTCTGGAGTAGTGGTAGAGTGGGTGTGTCTAATGCAGATGGGCGGGGCTCTATTTTCGACGGAAAAGGTCTATCTGCTAATTGTGTCTCCGATGTTCTATCTTGCTGTTGTGCGGTGAAACTTCCAAGCTGCTGTGGTGAACATGGAAAAAGTGGTTCACATGTTAATTTGAACGACTCTAAACCTTCAGCCCCGTCTACACTGATGTTTATTTTCTCTTTCCGCTGTGGCCCCTGTCCAGTCCATATGATGTCCAGTTTAATGTGCGGAATCACTTGTCCCGGTTCATAGTTTACAATTACACGCCTGCTGATTTTGAATGGCTTGGATTGTGGCTCCACACTCCACCCATTTGTTGACATTTTGGGAGCTTCAAAGGCTATTCCGGTAGAAGAAGAGGAACACGTTGCGATGTACTGATCAAGTTTTGCATCCTCGTATTCCTTTTTCACGGCAGCAACATGTAGTGGAAGGTTTTTAGTCACGACGAAATCAGCCGAACTATCAGCACAGTAGCAGACATGAACTGCACACTCTATCGGACCAAAAATCCGCCTGATAATTGACAAAATGCTGAATTTGCCTAGTTCGATTTCCCCGTAGCATTCTCCCTGTGGGAAAACTCCGCCCGGCAACGGGCTGAAACGATAGGGGGGTTCCCCATGGGCAACCATAAACCCCATCACGTTTTCGTTTTCTACTGCAGTACAATGTTGCATCCTTACTCTGACTGGCTGAGGTAGTTTATCACTGGCTGTGATCTGGCACATGGCGCTAACTAACGGCATGTTTCGATACTCCAGCGGTAGCTCATAATCATCGTTGACAACTTTTACCGTAAAATTTATCTCTTTTTCCAGTTCAACTTTTGGTAAAAATAGGCCAATACCGGCGTCTTTCCAACAAATCTCCGTCTCTATCCCAGTGTATACGTGAGAAAGTTCCGAATGTAGACTACACTGCACAAACTTTACCCCGGGTTCACTTGATGATGGCCGCCGTGCAAGAGAAGAAAGAACGTATATTTTCTCCCTCGTAATAGGCTCCGGGATTTGCGGTTTGCTGACGGGGATTTTTGCCAGCATTTCCTCTCCCATTGCCACAAACGTGCTGGGAGGAAGGATGTATGAAGGAACCTGAAAATGGAGTGAGATTACGTAGTGAATCCACAGAGGTTTACTTATCTACAAACACACTGAAAGAGTTGGAAACATGCGAAATTTGAGTGAATTGTAGTAAATACACAGAGGTTTACACATTATATTATAAACTATCCCCGAATAAGGGACACCTCTGAATAAAAGACACTTTCAATGTCCCCAAACTGTCCACCATACGAGGTATCACCGTATTTTTAAGCAAAGTTTAACTAACATTCGCTTCTGAACTTCCACTTCCTTGTCCTCCAGAATCTGCCGGTCCACTTCTCTGCTCGCTAATATCACCGAGTCGCAAATGAAATATATTCAGTGGTCCACAGCCCTCCGGCAGGGTAATAACTTGATGAAGCATTCCTTGTGCTGTAGGGGAAACAAAGGGTTATAGTTTAGTGCAAGTGCAAATATTTTGCTGCTTAGTTAAATGCTGTGGCAGAAAACATGGTAACAGACACACAAACTAAAATACTGCGACTCTCACTGCACATGTGCACAGAGGTTTGGTAAAAGTTAAAGCTTTTGCACATCGTGTGGAGCATATTTATTATAAAAATATACCTCTATTTTCCAGCTTATCAGCAACAAACTTGTGATCGTGGACGCTGTCTTGCGTGTCCCTCAATGACCGATAGAACGCCCCAGTCCCTCCCTCCACTCCCCCAATCCTCTGCAACATTTCGTACGTCGTTTCAAAACTAGGCCTCGAACCCTCCTCTGCCGGCATCTGGTAAACAGATTTTGGAACACCGTGTTTCTCCAACTCCTGTTGAAGTACTTTGAAGTCGACAAACTCCAGGATTTCGGATGCACAAAACAGTAACACTTCCTTGGGAATATTCCGCTCACTATCGCCGACGTATTCAAATAAAAAATCTTCTTGTTGGTCGGTGGGGATTATGTACCAGGCTACGATAACCTCGTCTCCTATTTCCTTTAGCAAAACTGCACATTCGTTCACCATGTAAAACCCGGAAAAGGCCTTGCGAAATTCTTGCAAATCTTCGAGTGTTTTAGTTTTAACCGAATCCTTTTCAATGAAAACTTCGACAGCATCTGGTGGGACGGCTTCGATAGCCAAAAGCTCCTTCTCCAACAGCATTTGTTCCATGGAGGTTTCTTCTCTAAACTTCTTCATGTCTTCCCCGTAGGTGTCCATCTCTTTCTTGACAGGCTCAAAACATCTTTCTTCTGCAGCAAGTTTCTCGATAAGTTTGTCCAGAATGTCGTAAGAGTAGTAGTTCCAGTAATAATCCAAGAAATTAAAAAGCTTCGAGACGTTTTTCTCGTACTTTTCAAACGAACTTTCCACTTCAGATTGCGCCACTCTGATACCAATGATCGAAGCAACGATAAACACGATGCTTGCTACGCTACTTTGATAAGATCTTTCAAGACAATGGATTGTTGAATCCCTAATAGCATTAAATCTTTGACGAAAGCTGTTGATCTTATCTCTTACTGATCCTAGAAAAAGGCGAAGAAGAAGAGTAATAATCCGCTAGAAAAAAAAAACAGGTATGCAGCGACTAACTCACCAGGTACAGGGCTGAGTTGAGCGGAAGGTTTTGACTTGACCTCATCATCACCGCCACCACCAGCACTAGTGATGGCTGCAGACTCTGTGGTATCATCACCAGCAGTAGTGTTAGTTGCAGACTCTGTGGTGACTGAGATGATAGAGACATGACTGTAGCTACACCAATCAGATATGAGTGGAGCTGATGGTGACTTACCAGTAGTCTCGGGGATAGTGCTAGGTTCAGAAACACCCGATCTTTCAACCTGTCTCTGGTCCTTCCAGGTGATTTTTTAACGCGCTTGAAAAACTTTCCCACGCCTTCGAGCTAGGCGCCCGTCCTACAAAGGTCGGAGAATCAGCTATAATATAGCTAAGTCCGCAAGAAGTGCAAGTATATTACGCGGAGTATTTACCTGCCATTGCTCTGCTGCAATTTTAAGAATCAGACGGCAATATAATAAGGAGCCTTTGCAAGGTGGCACACTGCACTGCAAAAATTATAGCTGCGAATTGAGTCGGCGCCGCTTAAATGCGCTGCCGGCGCGCGGCGCTAATGCACCTTCTGCGCATGCGTGGAATAGCAATCTCGTTAGAGCCTAGCCTAGCCTGCGGGGTTATAACATCCGCGTCCAATTCTGCGGCAGATATGAAACTCTGGTTTTGCACATAGATGCAATAATCTGTCTTCAGTGTAAATGTAGGTAAACAAAAAAATAACGATAATTTGTCTATTTTCTTCTTCGTTTGGTTGAAGGTCTGGCGTTAGTGGTGTCAGCATCTTCTATAAGTATAGTGGCCCAGTAGTGCACTTTTTATTTTCTCTCCTCGCTTCTCTCCTCCCGTTTCTCTTCCTGCCTCTGATCGCTATTATCCTAGCGGTGGGTGTGGCCTAATCATTATTCGCTCGAACTATATTCATGACCCGTAAACGTTTTCTCTCCTCTCTTCTCTCCTCTCTCTTCTCTCCAATAGTCTCGTGCCCAGACCCCGCCCTCAAGAGAGGAAAAGGGTCTGGTGCGTTTTCTTGGTTGTGCTGACTCATCATTGTCGAGTGCATGCGCAGAAAATCCCGTTTTCGTTCGTGGACACGCGGAATCCACGGAGCTGCGTTACGATCTATTACATAACATCATGTGATATTTCACGGTCGTGGCAAGTAAGACTGTCGAGTCAGCACAACCACTCAATAGTCACCACCAGACCCCCTTTCCCCCCTCTCTTGAGAGGGCGGGGTCTGGGCACGAGACTACTCTCCAAAGGTAGGTGTGGCTTAATTAAATGTGGGTGTGGTTAATCTGTGAGCCAGAATTCTCAGCGCCATGTCCGACGCAGAACCGTCGTCGAGCTCAGCGGCTTCCTTGGGAAGTGCAGAGCTAGATATGGCAGTGAAAAGGTTTGAAATAAGCTGCTAGATAGCCCGTTGGATGTGGGAGCGGATACGATATCTAGAGACCGCTTAGCGCTTCTGCAGAATGGTGTCTCTCACGGAGAGTAACGTATTGGGTCAAGGAGAAAGCATGGAGTACTTGGACTCTATTCATGCTGGAAAAGTAATACGCAAGACTTTATTTAGTCTCATTACAAATGTGAACAGACATTTCCCAGCCAATCCAATACGTTACTCTCCGTGAGCTATAAACAGTCTCTTCTTTTCATGCGCTGTGCTTTTTGGCTTGAAAAAAGAAGGCTGGGTTTTTTGTAAGAGCTCCTCTATAGAGCACAATGTGAATGCAAAGATACCTATCCTGGGCTAAGGCAGTGACCTTCCACTCTACCCCATCCCAGTACACATCCACCAGTGTTGAGTACACCTCTACCAGTGTTGAGTACACCTCTACCAGTGTTGATAAAGACGAGGCTCGAGATTATCGTCAGGAGGCCATTCAGGTACATACATGTGTAGTAAAAGAGGGCAGAAATAATTATATAATTATGTAAAGCACTTTTAGCCAGATATAAGTACTTTATAGCTGAGTTTTAATGAGAGTGCTTCCTATTTATTATAAGTCAGTACAACAATTTGATAACAAATCTCAACGATCACTCTTACCTATTGCCTTCTTCCTAACCTCCCCCCCTCTCCCTCTCTCCTTTCCACCATTATCTTTTCTCTCCCTCCCTCCCTCTTGCTATATAATCAGGTGGAACTGCTCATGAAGAAAGAAGGAGAACTTCTTCAAGAAGTTCTCAATGCCAGCACTGCTGAGGGAAACAGAGAGGTATGTACAATCACATCATTATGACGTCATACAAATTACATCATCGTTAACTCATTCCCCTAGGTTGAAGACTGATGGATAAAAGCTGCAGTGATTGTAACGTGATGACCCGTTTTTTTAAAAATCTGAACATGACACAGACACATCTCATATTAAAACTCGTTATGTACATAGCTTATTTCAGTTTCAACATTGCTATGCTGTTGATTAAGGCACAATTTTTATACCTTCGTTGTTTACAAGTGCTAGATTAGATTACATCTTTGAAATTTGGATATACACGTGTACAAAAATAATGTGAACTTTCTGTCATTAAAGTACTATGTCGCAAACATTCTAAATCCATCAGTGTTCCATGGATGGGGGTAATAAATTTATTTCAATCTCTCGTGCCAATCTTCCGAGTCTGATGTTCCTCAGTGCACTAACAAGCTCCACCCACGACGCATTCGGTTCCTCGACAAGCCATCTTTGAAAAACAGTCTCCGCGATTCGACAGGGATCATTTCGATGCTCTAGCTCCATGCTCCTGATAACAGCACCCCAATTGTCTCTTAGTAGGTAGGTGCAAAGGTCTCGACATTTTGACCCAATCCCCTCAACGATGTTGGTAGTACGTCCTGATTGAGTTGGGAATCTTTTAAGAAGAGGAAGTGTGGGTCTATCAGATACAGAGGCAGTATCCTCAGCGAATATTGGTTGTGGTTGTGGTAATTCAGTTGATGTCACCACCTGCTGTGGTATAATAGAGAGTGAGAGGTTGTATGCAGCACACACACACAAGTACAAACAGTGAATATATTATACTACAAAGTATGATGCTACAAAAAATATATGTACCTGATTTCTTCTAGAACAACACAAGTTATTTGCAATCTCGTTCGCCAGAGCGCCCAGCTCTATCTCCCTCAGTGCTCTAACCAGGTCAGCCCAGGTACGCGGATCCTTCTCCAGCCACCGCACTAGAACAGCTTCTGCGACTCGATTCGGATCGCATCGGTGCTTCATTTCGAGGTTATTGGCAACCGTTCCGCACTCGTCGTTGAGAAGATGAATGCAGAGACAGTGACCCTTGATGCCAATTCTCTCGATAACGTTTATGCAATGTCCAGATCGAGTTGGGAACCGTTGAAGCAGTCGTAGGGTGGGCCTTTCAAACGCGGATGGGCTGGGCTCTATTTTCGACGGAAAAAGTGTATCTGCTAATTGTGTTTCCAATGTTCTATTTTGCTGTTGTGCGGTGAAACTTCCAATCAGCTGTGGTGAACATGGAAAAAGTGGTTCACATGTCAATTTGAACGAGTCTAAATCTTCAGCCCCGTCTACACTGATGTTTATTTTCTCTTTCCGCTGTGGCCCCTCTCCAGTCCATATGATGTCCAGTTTAATGTACGGAATAACTCGTCCCGGTTCGTAGTTCACAATTTTACTCATGTCGATTTTGGCTGGCTCGAATTCCGGCTCCACACTCCACCCATTTGTTGGCATCTCTGGCACCGTAAGAGCTATTCCGGCAGAAGAAGAGGAACACGTTACACTATACTGAACACGTTTTGCATCCTCGTATTTCGTTTCCACGGCAGCAACATGTGGCGGAAGGTTTTTTGTCACAATGAAATCGGCCGAACTATCGGCACAGTAGCAGACATGAACTGCACACTCTATCGACGAATATCCCAAAATCCGCCAGAAAATTGACAAAATGCTGAATTTGTCTAGTTCGATTTCCCCGTAACATTCTCCCTGTGGGAAAATTCCGCCCGGCAACGGGCTGAAACGATAGGGGGGTTCCCCATGTGCAACCATAAACCCCATCACGTTTTCGTTTTCGACTGCAGTACAATGTTGCATCCTTACTCTGACTGGCTGAGGTAGTTTATCACTGGCTGTGATCTGATACATGGCACTAACTAACGGCATGTTTCGATACTCCAGCGGTAGCTCATAATCATCATTGACAACTTTTACCGTAAAATTTATCTGTTTTCCCAGTTCAACTTTCGGTAAAAATAGGCCAATACCAGCTTCTCCCCAACAAATTTCCGTCTCTATCCCAGTGTACATGTGAGACAGTTCCGAATGAAGACTACACTGCACAAACTTAACGCCGGGTGCACTTGATAATGGCCGCCGTGCAAGAGAAGAAAGAACGTATATTTTCTCCTTCAGAATAGGCTCAGGGATTTGCGGTTTGCTGACAGGGATTTTTGCCAGCATTTCCTCTCCCATTGCCACAAACGTGCTGGGAGGAAGGATGTATGAAGGAACCTGAAAATGGAGTGAGATTACGTAGTGAATCCACAGAGGTTTACTTATCTACAAACACACTGAAAGAGTCGGAAACATGCGAAATTTGAGTGAATTGTAGTAAATACACAGAGGTTTACACATTGTATTATAAACTACCCCCGAATAAGGGACACCTCTGAATAAAAGACACTTTCAATGTCTCCTCAACTGTCCACCACTATGAGGTTTCACCGTATTTGTTTAACTAACATTCACTGCTGAACTTCCACTTCTTTTTCCGCCAGAGTCTGCCGGTCCACTTCTCTGCTCTCTAATATCACCGAGTCGCAAATTAAATTCATTTAGACCACAGCCTTCCGCCTTCCGTGTAAAAACTTCATGAAGCATTCCTTGTGCTGTAGGGGAAACAAAGGGAGTTTAGTGCAAGTGCAAATATTTTGCTACTTAGTTAAAAACTGTGGCAGAAAACATGGTAACAGACACACAAACTAAAATACTGTAACTCTCACTGCACATGTGCACAGAGGTTTGGTAAAAGTTAAAGCTTTTGCACATCGTGTGGAGCATAATATTATTATAAAAATATACCTCTATTTTCCAGCTTATCAGCAACAAACTTGTGATCGTGGACGCTGTCTTGCGTGTCCCTCAATGACCGATAGAATGCTCCAGTCCCACCCTCCATTCCCCCAACCCTCTGCAACATTTCGCACGTCGTTTCAAAACTAGGCCTCGAGCCCTCCTCTGCCGGCATCTGGTACACCGATTCTGGAACGCCGTGTTTCTCCAACTCCTGTTGAAGAACTTTGAAATCGACAAACTCCCGGATTTCGGATGCACAAAACAGCAAACACTTCCTTGGGAATATTCGGCCCACTATCGCCGACGTATTCAAATAAAAAATCTTCTTGTTTGTCGGTGGGGATTATGTACCAGGCTACGATAACCTCGTCTTCTATTTCCTTTAGCAAAACTGCACATTCGTTCACCATGTAAACCCCGGAAAGGACCTTGCGAAATTCTTGCAAATCTTCGAGTGTTTTAATCGATCCAGTTTTAACCGAATCCTTTTCAATGAAAACTTCGACAGCATCTGGTGGGACGGCTTCGATAGCCAAAAGCTCTTTCTCCAACAGCATTTGTTCCATGGAGGTTTCTTCTCTAAACTTCTTCATGTCTTCCCCTGTAGGTGTCCATCTCTTTCTTGACAGGCTCAAAACATCTTTCTTTTGCAGCAAGTTTCTCGATAAGTTTGTCCAGAATGTCGTAAGAGTAGTAGTTCCAGTAATAATCCAAGAAATTAAAAAGCTTCGAGACGTTTTTCTCGTACTTTTCAAACGAACTTTCCACTTCAGATTGCGTCACTCTGATACCAATGATCGAAGCAACGATAAACACGATGCTTGCTACGCTACTTTGATAAGATCTTTCAAGACACTGGATTGTTGAATCTCTAATAGCATTAAATCTTTGACGAAAGCTGTTGATCTTATCTCTTACTGATCCTAGAAAAAGGCGAAGAAGAGTAATGATCCGCTAGCAAAAAAAACAGGTATGCAGCGACTAACTCACCAGGTACA